TCTAAAGGTTATGGAAAGCACTTAATTATTCTGCTTTTCATTGGCAATTTTTCATTCTGCTTTCTTTCTTTTCCAACGAAATGCTGCAAATATGGCAAGATTTTCCAATATCTAGTTTTCAAAGATTTTTGCCTAAATGAATATCCAGTTTGGATTCAGTTTCATGTTACTGAGTAAAACAGACACAAATAAGTATGAGATTTTGTAGCAAGGTTTGCAGTTCCTTGCCCTGCATATTGTGCAACAGTGTTGGATACTGGATCATGTAGATTAAACTGTTAGGCTGTTTTATAGAGAAAGAGAAATAAAAGACCTCTTTTGTTGTGTAGTCCATAACAGGATATTAAATGTTCATTCAGACAGCAGTGGTATGTAGCTATTAAAATATAGTTGTAGCCTAAACTATTTCATGTGTCTAAATTAGATCCTATGTACAAAAGCACCAGTGCATTCATTTTTACTGAAATAAGACAAATTCAAGACAAATCTTGTATGATAGGGAACAGCTAAAGGATTATTCCATGCTGAAAGGAAAAGAAAAGACATGCGTTTTGGCTGAGGAGCCTTCTTCAGCTGTCTGACACAACTATGCACTTGAATATTGTGATTACTGTCCTGGAAAGTCTCAGTACTATGGAGAATTACTTTTTAAAATATGTTTTGTCAATTACAAAATTACAGGGCCATGAGCAACTGTAAAACATATTTTAGTTAAGGTCTTATTTTTTAAACACTTCCTAATATTTCCTTGCAGTATTTAAAGCTTTTTGCAAACTGTATTTTTATGCAAGACTGTCTGAGTTAGGCAAGGTCAAAGGATAATTGCCTCTTTTGCTGAATTATGTGAGGAAGTGCTGCTAAGGTTCATTAAGCTCACATCCCTTGTTATCCTGGATAACAGCTTATTAAACAAATGCTAGTATGCACTATGATTAACTGGGATACTCGAGGCCTTGCAAAAGTATTCAGACCCTTTATAAGTGGTTGAATTTTGTGAAATTACAAAATGCTGCGTACACATTTTTTTAAATTGGTATTTTATTTGAAACCTGAATGCTCAAAATGAAGACTAGTAAGGGTCAGACAAGTCACGGCTCAATTTTGCCAGTTGTTTCTTGTATCACTTACATGCTTTGTTGCAGATTTCATGCAGGATTTAAGAAGTTTTTTTTTCAGTAATGTCTTCCTTTTTCCCACAGTTCATAAGCTAGAATTGTCTCATGGATATCTCACTCATTGAGCACTAGTTTTTTCAGAGTCAGTGTTATGCTCACAGTGGCATCCTTAACCAGATCCCTTTATGCTTGTCAGCTTAGTTGGGAGGACCTTGGACTTCTTAATGATCGATTTGGGCTGTTTATTTTATTTACCCTTTTCTGGGTCTGTGCCTTTCTACAACTTTATTCCGGAGTTGTTTTGAAAGCTCTTCAGTCTTAATTATTTGCTTGACATTCACCACCGGACTGAGGAACCTTACAGAGTTAAGAATATGCTTCTGAAAGCATGTGAACCATTTTATTGCGCGGAGATTATAACATATATAACATATATAACTTATAACACCAGCAGCCATATCGCCCTGCAACTCACAACTGGCAACCCACTGAAGCTAAGCAGGTGTGAGCCTGATCAGCACCTGGATGGGAGGTGTTAGTGGGGCCAGCAGGGGGCGCTCACCCTGGGGTCCATGTGGGTCCTAATGCCCCAGTATAGTGACAGGGACACTGTACTGTAAACAGGCGCCGTCCTTCGGATGATACGTAAAACCAAGGTCCTGACTCTCTGTGGTCATTAAAAATCTCATGGTGTTTCTCGAAAGAGTAGGGGTGTAACCCCAGCGTCTTGGCCAAATTTCCCATTGGCCCTTACCATGGCCTCCTAATAACCCCCCTCTATGAATTGGCTTCATTCTCTTCCCCGCTGATAGCTGATGTATGGTGACTGTTCTGGCACACTATGGCTGCCGTCGCATCATCCAGGTGGATGCTGCACATTGGTGGTGGTATAGGGGAGTCCCCATTACCTGTAAAGCTCTTTGAGTGGAGTGTCCAGAAAAGCACTATATAAGTGTAAGCAATTATTATTATATACTAGTTAATATTTCAAAGTGCCAAGGCAGAAAATATTAGAGTAACAAAATATCAAGACTTTGCCAGGGTCTGAGTGAAGTCCCTTCAATACTTTTATGTTAACTTGTTTTAACACTCTGGAGAGCAAATTCTCATCACTCTTTAGGAAAGGCCATTGTATTAGAATTACTGCAATTTTGTATGAAAATGGCCTTTGACACAAGAATTGCAATTTCACTTTCACTCAGCATTATTATTTTTAACTCAAAACAGTAAATTAACCATGAATGGTTTAAAATTTGCATTATAATGAGACATATATAAATGTTTTAATGCAGATTGAACTTCTTGATGAGATTCTAAGCACAATGATGATAAATTGTTTATATACCGTACTTGGGGTACTTAATTCTTTTCTTGTTTGAGAACCACTGTGCAAATGTTAAATGCTTAAAAGGATGTTGGTTAAACATAGCAGCTTCTAATGTATTAAGTTGTACTTGGCAAGTTACTTTCTAATACTTTCAAAAATCCTTCATAATGCAAAACAAATGGGAAAAACGTAACATTGTTTTTTGATATGATGTGCACAAAAATAAAGCAACACAAACAGCAAACCTAAAGCAAACCTAAAACATGATAATGCTTTAGTCTGTGTGTAATGCTTTGTGTAATTATCTTGTGACCTGTATACTGACAGTGTTGAATGACCTTAGCATGAAAATTGCATGTTTCTTAACATGACAGTTTAATGGTAGTCATACTATGTTTTGGTATGTTGCCTTCCTTTTTTCAAACATTTTTTTAAGAAAGACAAAATATTTCCTTAGAGAGTATTGACACATTTGTTCTGTGGATGGATTAATTTAAGTGTATAGGTGATGCCTTGTCAAGATAGACTATAACACCCAGCAGATTTAGAAGACTATTAAAAGGTATTCCCTGTAATCAATCCACATTTTTCTTGCTAATCAAATGCTAATGCTTATCAAAAAGATCAATAAAGAACTATTGGTTTTTGACGGTCACTTTCTTGTAATATAAGACTCAGATGATTACATTTTTTTCATTGGGGCTTTTACCGTGCAAGCTTCTTCAGTGGGAGGTCATTCTTTTACTGTTGTGACCGAGTGGTTATTGTGAAGAGCTTTAGTTATCCATAGTTTTGTATAAACAATAGAATATTAATATGAAGATATTAAATACTGTATATGAATAATGTCCTAACTACTTTGAAATTCACAATGCTTAAAAAATGTCCACTCCTCAGATTCTTGCCTTGGCTTTATTAGCCTTTTGTGGTACTGCCATTTTTTACTTATTATTTGCTCCAAAAAAGGTTGCAGGTTACTGCCTCTGAACTATGCTGGAAATGCACAGCTCCAGAGATGTCAAGGCTGTGAAGTTTCTTGTCACCAGTCTGAGCTTCCTACCTCATTGTTACTGATAAGTGCCAAGGATGTGCATGAGCTGTCATTTGTGAAGACTGTTCAAGGTGTTGTCTTCCAGATTGTTTTTTGGGTACCCAGGGAATGCACCGATATAATTACGTTGAAGGTCTTGCAAGACTATGCCTTGTAGCTTATGAATAAATATGAAAGACATTTATCTTCATTATGTCTGGAACATATAAATGCTCTGTCAAAGAGTCCTCAATAGAAAGTATGCACTTCTACAGCCTGGCAGTGAATTGTCTTTCCTGTAAACATCTTTACTTTGGACTTGTGTGGGTGTGTGGGGTAAACCTTAATTAAATCGCCTTAAACGGTCAAACTACTTCCTACAAAACATACGTCTTTTAAACTACAGGAAACTATATAAGAAGAACTTTGTAGTTTACTTTTGTCTTACTATGTAACATTGTACTACAAAATCTTGACCAAGACTAGGTTCTCATGTTTCAAATCTTCAGGCATTATTTTACTTCCCTAATTCTTCTGATCACTAAATTCAAACCTGACCTATGTATTTCCCCTAATATTTTAGAGATAAGCAGTGCAGTGACATGTTTTAGACTACCTCTTCAGAAAACACTGAATCTGTGTTGCTAGACCACTTAGTTCTTGACAGATTTGGTGATTTTAATGTTTCACACCATGAGGAGGTTCTGTTGCAGTTTCCTATTAGATTCAACAGGATTTAGTAAGAATGTAGCATTTTTGGAAGACTTGTCTGTGGGTTGTAAATACAACTCTAAACATTTATCTTTTTTTGGATATAGCCTTCAGTCATTCTTAAACTGGGCAATAATTTGAGTAGGAATCAATATCAATTTATGAGACATTTTTAATGCTGATACAGTGGTTTTGTCCTAATCCTGTTTATTATATTCTTGCAATTACTACAAACAAATCATTTGTGATCTGTAATTGTTGCATATGTTTTTTTTTCCACTCTTGCACAAGTTATTTTTTTTATAATGACTGCTATAAAAGTTATGAAATCAAAAAAACTTTTAAACCAGTAGCTTTAAAACTAAAAATTAGACTAAAATGTATTTTGTTTAAATGATTATCGATGTAGAACTCTCTGAATCTACATGCTTTTGTTCATAAACATGCTGCATTATCTGATTACATTATTTAATAATAAGCCATATGTTTTTCTTTTGTTATTTTGAGTCATCGGTTCCCGAAGAAGTCGATTATATTTCCTTAGCCAGGACTGCAACACAGGCCCCCCTTGCTCTGCAGTCATTTTATCTTCTGTACTCATTAAATTGTTTTTTACCAATTCATTTCTATATAGTCATTATACTTGATTGCAAACAGAAAATTGCAATAATTGGAGACTGCTATGTAAAGGCATTTTTTTTTGTTAAGATGGAAAAAATGATTTTTTTTTAGATGTTACATTATACACAGTGCAACAAAGTGGTAATATAATATAACCTGACGGAGCCTAGTGTTTTTCCTTTTTGTCTTTGGACAGGCCTGGGCAAGACCAAGAGGAAGACAAGTGCTCGAGATGCCTCACCCACTCCCAGCACAGATGCTGAGTACCCTTCTAACGGCAGCAGTGCTGACCGCATTTATGACCTCAACATCCCTGCCTACGTCAAGTTTGCCTATGTCGCCGAACGCGAGGATGAGCTGACGCTGGTGAAGGGCACCCGGGTGACGGTGATGGAGAAATGTAGCGATGGTTGGTGGAGGGGCAGCTATGGGACCCAGGTGGGCTGGTTCCCCTCTAACTACGTGGTGGAGGAAGGGGATGAGGCCTCAGCTGACTCCCCCAGCTTCCTTTCCTCGAGACAGGGCGCCACAGTCAGCAACGGCCAGAACACCAAAGTCCTCCACCTTGTCCAGACTCTGTATCCCTTCAGCTCCGTCACTGAAGAGGAGCTGAACTTTGAAAAGGGAGAGACCATGGAGGTGGTGGAGAAACCCGAGAATGATCCCGAGTGGTGGAAATGTAAAAACTCCCGGGGACAAGTGGGCCTGGTGCCCAAAAACTATGTGGTCATCTTGAGCGATGGCTCTGCCTCCAGCAGCTCCCACTCTCCTCAGATAAGCTACACCGGGCCCTCCCCTACAGGCAAGTTCGCTGGCAAGGATTGGTACTATGGAAACATCACCCGGCATCAGGCGGAGTGTGCCCTCAATGAACGAGGGGTGGAAGGGGATTTTCTTGTCAGGGATAGCGAATCTTCGGTAAGTAGTGTGCTGGGTAAAATAAGGAGTTGATGCAAATCAGGGACATACCACAGCTACATTAGTGAGGTCAATCTGTTTACATACAGCAGTAATTAGATTAAAAGAATGAATAGTAATTAGTAAATAGAATAACATGTTTTTGCTCTCCTGACATATACACCAAATATCAACAATGGCATATAGACTATGCTATATAATTACTTTTTAATGCATTCAGTTAATAAAAGTAATATTTTCTTTGTAGAACGTACACTGATATTTTATTGTACAGACATGCCTATCGATACATTCATTATGTTGATTAACAATAGTTAATCTTTTTGAAGGATTATAGGCAAATACTGTGTGTGGCCATTGCTGAAGGCAATGAAACTGTCCATCTGTGATACATGCTTTGTACCAAAGATTTCTGTCCAATTCTTCTCATAAAGCCTGTACATGTATGTGCCAGTTCCCTGGTTTCTAAGTCCTAGACACTACACTTCATTCCAGCTCCACTCATAAATCTTACAAATCTTCAGTAGGGCTCAAGTCAGACAAGCGGGTTATCCACAACATAAAGGTCACATTCCCATCTCTGAAGAAACCCATTGTTACATGAGCACCATGAGTATTAATGTTGGTGTTTGGAATGTGTCACATTAGGATGATCATATTGGAAGGGCAACAAGTGAGACTAGGGCTTTTTTCAATGTAGGTCCATGTAGTCTGGTTGCCATTAATCAGTGCAAATGGAGTTCTGTAGTGCTTAGACTTCCCTGACCAGACCATCACTTTTAAAACCTTGCCATTAATTGGTCTGTTATACACACCAATGTGCTCATCATTCTGCACATTTATGTCATAGTCACTGACACATAACCTTGATTTATCACAAAGAAGACCGTGGCTCCACTGCTGATGAATTCATTTGAGGTGTTGAACATACAAATGGCATAAAGTCTTATTTTCAAAAGTGGGGTATATGGTCCTCTCTAAGTTTTTCATTTCTTCATTTTCACCATGGTCTCAGTCATAGGTCAGTCACCTGTGCAGTCAGGATTTAGTGCTTATATAGCAGTAAAGCCTCTTGAGTGCATCACAGTCAGTTGTGAATGATCAATAATCAGTTATACCAAAAATGTTTAATATCCAAAATCTATATACACTGTATCATATTTTTTCTCAAACCATAGTCATGTTTTTCATAAATTTCAAATAAGCTCAGCCTGGATATGACCAATTCAGACAACTGCTCTTCAACCAGCATAGCAGTGTTTTTAGCAAATAATGTAAAAAAATGTCATATTTCCTCAAGGAGAATGGATTGTAATTTTGACAAGGCCTTCAGTATGCTGGAGAGTAAAACTGTGCTGTAAACAATTTCCAGAACATGACATTAAGAAATGGGATGTGTAGAATCTCAATTTCCATACACCTTTCTTCCAAAACAACTAAAAACAAGAATGCTGAAAATACATTAGAGTTAAATTTTAACGGAGAAGACGGTTGTGGTTTAAGATATGAAAATTCATAACTGGTCTCTAAGCAGGATTATGCTGTACATCCATTCCTTTTCTAACCACTTCATCCAGTACAGGGTCACAGGAGAGCCGGAGCCTTTCTCAACAAGCCACAGGTGCAAGGTGGGTATACACCCTCGGCAGGACGCCAGTCCATCACAGAGCACGCGCACTCATGCACATCTAGGGCCAGTCTTCTCAGAACCTACCAGTATGTGTTTGGACTATGAGCGGGAACTGCAGTACCACGAGGAAACCCATGCAAACACAGGGACAATATAAAAACAACAGAGAACGCACCTCAGGTCCAGAATTGAATCCATTGTCCCAACACTATGAGGCAGCAATACTAAGCACTGTGCCAATGATTTGCTCCTGCATGGCATTTGTGGCTTCTACTTTTTATTAACTTTTTAAATTTTCTACTCTAGAAGATAAAAGATCTATTAATGGAAAATCATGAACTCTTTAGTGGCTCACCCAGTAAAAACACTGCAGTCATAGCAGCATATAAAACCTACCTGGAGACTGTTAAACAACTTGGGTTATTCCATGTGCCAGGTGTGGGTGGGGACTCAGAATGGCTGTGTGTGATTGGTGGAATGCTATTAGTGACAGATGCAGAGCAGGATGTTTTGGTTACAGTCCAACAGCACATCTCTGTGACTTGTTGCCAGCAGGACAGATCATGATCAGCAATAAATATGTATCACATTGTTAGCACTAGAGGTCTGTCTTTACGTTTCGGTTTCACAAGGTGAAAAGCTGTTTTTGTGTTTTACATTGCCTGAAAGTTGTACTTCTTTCTCAGGTATTGCATCAGAATGACGATTTGATAGCAGCCTGTTCTTCCCAACAGGGAGGCTGGGGCTTGAGTACTATAAATGGTGAAAAAAGATTGCCAGTGGAGAAATAGAAAACATTTATTCTTTGCATTGCTGGAGCACCCAGCTGTCTGCTTTGGAAATACTTTACCACAGAGAAAATATATGACAGCAATTAGGACACTTTACAATTTATCTGCTGCTTTTGAATTTTTTTGTATCAGTGAAAAACTAAATGTCATCTTCATCTTCATTTCTCCCTGATTTATTTTTCAATAATTTGTGTAGAAAATGTTGTCTTCAAATTGCCCAAGACAATACGTTCAAGTGTAATTTCTGCTTCCTCTGCTCTTTGATAACAAAAATAATTTTATAACTTTTTTTTCTTGCCACAGGACAAATCCCTGTGACTTCGGTTTACATGTTTCATGTTCCATGTTCTGTTATGAACATTAATACCTATTACATTGTCTCAAAGCTTTAGGGCTTATAGGTTGTGTACTCTCTCTAGATGCCACTAGATGGCATAGATGCATTTTACATTAAGCTCCAAAATCATTATTTTCATTTGACAAAAACCATCAAAATTAATAAATGTGACTGCAGTTGTGAAAGAAGTCACATTCTTTAACTGGGCAGTGATATTAATCTTTCTTAAATAGAAATGAAAGTTTAGAATGTTCCTCAATGACTCTTTTCAAATGACAGTTCTTTTACTCTACTGGCATTTCTATGTGCATGCCACAAATTTCAGTGATATAACACTGACTTCACGTTATTCTTAAGGTGGTTGTTAGAATGTGTGACTTTTAAACTATGTATGTTCTCCCTGTGTTCACATGGGTTTTCGCCAGGTGCTTCAGTTTCTTCTCACAGTCCAAAGACTGTAGGTTAAGACTGGTAGGTTAACTGGCTTCTGGGAAAATTGGCACTGGTGTGAGTTTTTGTCTGCATTTGCCCTGAGATGGACTGGCATTTGTCCAGGGTGTATTCTGCCTTTTGTCCATTGCTTGTCAGTGTAAGCTCAGGCTCCTCCTCAACCCTGAATTGGAAGAAGCCATTAGGAAATAGATGAATGAATTGAATTCTAAACTAAGAATGCTTTGTTGCTCGCTGCTGTGATACTGGAAAGTACAACTTGACTGGTTCATAACTGACCTTATGGATTGATTTAAAGTATTTTTAAAGGCTCAGAATTAAACATGCACATCATTTTGAAGTAAACTAATTTTTAAAACAATCTTAAAATAAGTGCTGTAACATTACTGCTCTTTATTTGACACTGCCGTTGGGTTTTTCTTTGGTGAGATTTGGAATAAGTGTAGCTATGACTTACGTTCATTTTGATTGTTTAACATTCAATAATTAAATATGTATAAGGAAACAATGACAAATAATTTTGAATTAGGGGTTTAGTAGGTTAACGTCATGGTAATGTGTCAGTTAGTCCTGCTGTCATTAAGGTTTTGGGCTTGGTCCTGATCCAAGGTGCCGCCTTTGTGAAATTTGTATCTCATCACTTTGACCATGTGGACTTTCTCCCGGTGCACCTTTTCCCTCCCTTTAATCCAAAAAATGCAGCGTAGGTTCTCTGGTATCTCTGAATATCACCACTTTTAGTACCTGTGCCTTGTGTGAGACTGGCATTCTGTCCAGGTTGTCGCCTGTCTTGTATCTATGGTCTGATGGGCTTTTGCTCACCACAGCCATTTATTGGACCTATTAGTGATTAAAAATGGATGAATGAATGTAATAAGTGAGAAGTATAAATGGTTTGCTATTTAACAAATTAATGTATAATCTTTAAAGGCCAAGACTGTGTGTACATCATATACTTTAACTAATTGATCTGTAATTGGAAAAGTACAGTAAATGTTTAATGTCTTTGTATCTGTTTTTTCTCTCTCCACAGCCAAGTGATTTCTCTGTATCACTCAAAGCATCAGGAAAGAATAAGCATTTCAAAGTGCAGCTTGTAGATGGCGTGTACTGCATTGGCCAGCGGCGCTTTAGCACCATGGATGAGCTGGTGGAACACTACAAAAAAGCTCCTATCTTCACCAGTGAACACGGAGAGAAGTTATACCTTATCAAACCTCTGCAGTGACCCAGGCTCTGGAATGGGCCTACATCAGGCCTGTCACAGCTAGAAGCCTTAGTTCTGGACTTTCACTTTTACAGAGCAGAGCCATTTCTATACACTTTAATTCTGTTTTTTATTGCTATTATTTAAACAAATAAGCAGACAGGAAAATAAACTGGGGCTCGTAATGAATGATTTAGCTCTGTTAGTGGCTGTTTGTCCTTTTTTATTGTTTCTATGCCCAATTGTCCTTCAGTTCTTTTGAACTTAACCTTTCCCAAGGTTGAAAAAAATGTCTTCACTAAGTGACCATTTTAAGCACTCGCTTTATGCCTTGGCTGAGAGCTCCTTCTGTAGATGTTGTGCTTAGGATGTATTGAAAAACTGGGGAGGAGAATTTCACAATCACAAGACAGTGTTAATCCGTTTCAAATTGCTCTCACGCAAGCAGGTTTCCTTTAGAGACTGTCAAATGGCACTGAATGCACTGAAGCTAAAGAAAAGGAAAGCCTATAGGTAAATCAGTTGTTGCTGTGAATTCTGCAGTTTTTGCTTCACAGGTAGGCAGTCACAAGAACCTCTAAGCTCTCTAATACCAGTGAGCAATAAATGCATATGAACAGTCCAAAGTTATGATACAACTGATTTTACATAGATTAAAGATTGTAGAATGAATCTGCCTAAATCTTAGAGGGGGAAATGATTTTTGCCAGAGAGAGGTCTCAAAGTTGCTTAGAAAAAAAAAACTCAAAAGTGAGTTGAGAGTTGAATGTTTGTTGTACAACCAAATGTGCCACCCACATAACGTGTGTCCCTTTTGCCCTACTGCTTGTTTCAATTAAATAATTACGTATTTAATTCTGAGAGTAATAAGTACCTGTAGCTGTGGACACTAATAAGAATCATTAAAAAAACATTTTTATTATTTACATTGGAAAATGTTTACCAACAAAACGTCGTTGATATTAAGAATTCTCAGCTGTTTTAAAAAAAGTATATGTCTGAATGTTCTCGAGCATAATTATTTAATTCTTATTTCCACTGTATGTATATTTAAAAATAAGGTGCATATATAAATTGTTTAGATCCAGCAACAATGTACTGTACTTAAGACAGTGTGTTGACAACTGAAATACATTGGTTCAATTAAAATTTTGCAAAATAACTTGTTATATTTTATCACTATTCTTAGCCACCCATTGAAAAGTAACGTGCACGGTGTTTATTCTCTTGGGTATTAAACATACTTCAGTGGTATGTGTGTTTGTTACCCTAAACCCCCCAGATGGGTGAATAACAGGTGTTTACACGCATGCATGTGTTTATTTGTTGGGAAACGCTGGGTAGCGTAAGAAACATAGTTTGCATAGTAACATCAGGTGCTATTATCCTTGAAAAAGAGTGTTGAATTATACAGTGATAGAAGACTGGCCCCGATCAAGTGTGATTTGAGCAGGAAGAATGCAAAGTTACTTGTTATATATATACCCGTTGACAAAATATTTTATTTTGAGGATAAAATTATCTTTATTTCCATAAAAGCATTTTAACCACCTTTTGTTTTAAAAAAACTATGTGCAGGTGTGTAAGGAGATCGGGGCTCTTTTTTGGCCTAATTTAGGACTGTCTTTTCAAACCATTTTCTCCTCATTTCTAAGAAAATGTGTTGTTGACTGTTTGAACACACAACACTGGAATGTAGAATAAATCCTTGTGATCTGTCACATTATAAGTTACAGAATTGACATCACCCCCTCCTGAAATCTAGAGAGTGTAAATGTCTGACACGGCAGAGGACCTGTCTGGTGTGGTGGAGTCATACGCTTGGAAATGGAGTTATGTGTGGTTGGAGGGGCAAAGGAGAGCCTCACTTGTTATACATGGTAAAATCTTCATGTGATGGTGAGGTGCTGGAGCAGTGCTTAGAGATCCCACTTAGCAGAAAGTCACAAATTGAGATGAGAGCTCTGGAATATATTAAGCAAACATTTTGTCACTATTTGACTGAAGGAGAAACACAGTGTTGTATTCAAGGTTACCACATTCTGCAGATTGATATGCACATGGTAAAACAGCTAAACTAAACGATGCATGGTGAAATGTGAAGATACAAGTTCTAGATATATGAAAATATATTAAAAATAATTGATCAAGCTTCACAGTAAATTAAATGAGTAAGTCTTGTTCAAAATTGGCTCATAACACTGTATGCCCTAGCATTAATAGACCAACTAATCTCTAATTTCTCCATTCATTTCCAAATTGATGTCAGACTTTCCCTGGAATTCACCACCCTAATATTTAACTCTTCTGCCCCCTATTCACCTCAAAACTATTTCTAACATTTTTGTTCCCTACAAGACACCTCCTATTGTAAAGGAACAAATAATAGGTTTAATCCATGCTGAAAAGAGAAGAAAGAAAACACCACGTTTCAGCTGTGGAGCCTTCTTAGGGTGTGAGAAAGACAGGGAAGACAGCAAAGATTAAATAGCATAGTCTTCTATGCTATTTATTGTTGCTGTTTGAAGCATATCAGTTTTTAATCAGTAGGTGGCAGACTTTCTGTAGAAAATGGAAAGATTATGACAAATGTTGAAACCTTTGTTAAACTTTAGTCTGGTGTATTTAACTTATGCAGCTGGTAATACATCTTTATAATGCTCACGATCTCATTTTGTTAGAGGAGGAGTAATACTAGGAGAAATACTTTGTCTTGTGTATGAGCTTAGTTGTTCAGTAAAAACCCTTTTTTGTGAAAATAAAAATAATTAAAAAGTATATAATTTTATCCTCCCTCCAGAAAATTTCCAACTAAAGTTGGTAAAATTAGACAACTATGATAGAAACGTCCTGATTAAACATTTTCACCATTTTAGTAATGTTACTTCCTAATGTCTCATCCCCCAACACCATGGATCCCAGCAGCAAAGAGCTCCATAAGAATGTTTATACAGGACAGGATCCAATGAGACCAGGGAATGTCAAGGCTCTCAATGCAGGGCTTTTAGCTGCGGTGAGATCAGACTACGAGATCTGTTTTCTGCTGCTGTGAGGCCAAGATTGGAGTTTCTTACAAAATGGTATGTGAGACCACGAAATATCCTTGTTTAGAATTGTAGACAAGCAGAATGCAGATTCTGAAACTAAAACACATCTGAACATCTTAAACACCCAAGAAATATGTGAAAAGGTGACCAAAGGGTCTCATTTAGAATGGACACAAGGGACTAGAATGATGGCATTTATTGCAGCTCAAATACAGTGTGTGAAAGGAGCTCCTCAGTGACTCAAGGGCCCTTGGTCATTGAGCTCTATAATCCGGGCATTATGGATTCCAGCCGGTGTCATGTCAGAATAGCTGACTATGACTTGAATACCTCAGGAAGTGCCACCTCATTAGCTGAGTGCCATCAAGTGTAGGACAGGATTAGTTAGCCCAGGCTCTCTCAGCTCTCAGGCAGCAAGTGAGTGATGCACATCTGTAGCAATTGGTGCTGAATCTCCAGTACAGGGCTGCATAGGTAGTGACTTGATTCTCTCCCGTGTACAGCTGCAGGGTTCAATGGTGTGAGTAGATACATTGTACATATACTGTATAAAAGATACCAAATCAGGGGGGTGAATAATAAAAGTCAATTTGAAATGTTTTAAATATATACACTGGGAAGAAAATGTTGTAGATCATTCCATGGTGACCCAACAGAAGAGTGCAATTCATCTGGACCAGCAAGTTCCTTTTCTAGGTAATGATAGATGCTAAAGGTTTGTATTAAGCCTCTAACAGAAAACAGGAATAACAGAGGACAATCCCTTGTTTTACATCAGCAATTCCAAACTTCATGTACTGGATATGTCACCAGTGCGTTTTCAACGTTTATTCTGGGGAACAGCTGTGCCCTCCACTTTTCCTCCAACTAATTACTTCATTTCAGTTTTCCCTTTTTTGCCATACTAATTTGCTCTAATCACTTAATATTGTTCTAAAACAATTGTAAATATTATCAGTGCCAGGTGCATGAAGTTTTCAGAGTTTTGGAACTCCAATTCTCTCCAAAACGTCACCCAATTGACTCCCAACTAGTCAGAATCTTTTAAAATATCATTCCTTGTTTTATTCA